ACTCTTCTGCCCATATTTGCCCCATTTGTAAAAAAGGTGGGGTGCTGCCTTTTGGGGGGACACCACATCTCAGGCAGTCTCAGCCAACGGGAGGCAGCATGTGTGGCCGCTGCAGGGACAAGCAGAAACATTTGTCGTTTCACAGGCTTTACTGGGGCAGGCCTTATCTGGTTAGACTTCAACTCAGTTTATAAGTGGAAATCATAAAACCAGTGAAGTGTGAGTGGGTAGGCCGCTGCCCGTCCGTTTCGAGGAATAAACTCGAAACTCCAGGAACGTTGCAAACAGCCGGGGCAGGCAGCGTGGAGAAAGAGCAGGGACCCTGCCGACGTCTGCCCCTGAGTCCACATTCCTGAGTCCTTGCGTAAACACCCCCTGTGGGAGCATCGTGCAGAGCACGTGGACATACAGGGTCCAGACTGGTGTTTCAAATGCCATCAGCTCACCTCAATTGGAACCCGGGGGCTCTTTCACTGTTCTATACTTCTGTTTCCTCATCTGTGTGGACAATCGTGGGATCTACCTCTGGGTGGCTGTAAAGATTTGGGGACATAGTTCATGTCAACCACTGGCCCCATGCTTGCCCTGGGGCAACTCAGTGAGTTTCCAAGACTGCTCTCTGCACAGGGTGTGATGGGACCGGGGTGTTCACACAGGCTGCTTCTAAATCCTCACAGCAGAACAGGGAGGAAAGGATGGGTCCCAAGGCTCAGGAGAGAGCAGCAGAGTCAGGGTAGAGCTGGGAGATGAACACGCACCTCCTGACCTCGGGCCACTGCTGTTTCTCCTCTGGGTTGGAGTTGGTGGTGAGGGGTTGCTGTCATTTGCTCCTCTCAGACTCAAAAACCCACATCATGGTGGCTCAAGGCAATAAATATCTGAGATCTGCTGTCAGATCAAAGTCCTTATTTGAAATCCCTGGGCCACGTTTTATAGGAGACATAGTCCAATGTCTCTTTTGAATCTCCGCAGGGCTGTGAGGGAGGTGACACTTGGGGGCATGTCAAGCAGAGCACGCACTTGCAAACTTGAGTTCAGATTCCAGATCTGCCCCCAACAATCTGCACGTCGTGGGGCAAATTTCCTGCTGCCTCTGAGTCTCCACTGTTTCCTTCCCTACAAAAGCAGAAGAGGAAGACCCATTTCTTTAAGGACCCACAGAATACACACAGCCCACTAGGGATAGAGCAGGGTGGATGGAGGAGGTGCTCCCAAAGGGTGATCAGTGCTCCCCCACTCATGCCAAGGCAGAAAGACTTAGTGCCTTACCCGAGGAACCGCCCAGTGGTAACCTGGTGACCCCCACGCCCTCACCCCTCACCTGCATTGCACCGGCCTCTGCCCTTGGGAAGTTTCCATCTCCCAGGGAGAAAAGAGGCAGCTCAAAGCCCCTGTAAAAAGGTACAAGTGAAGAGCCAGAGGGGACAATGCCGGTTTGGAGAAAAAGGCCAAGCTTCCAGGAGGAGGCGGCGGCGCGAGGTTGGGTCTTGGAGAATTAACGGGCTTGGAGGAGTGGGTGTGCTGGGCCCTGGCGTGATGGAGCCTTCCGGGAGTGGGATAGCTCCATGGTGCGCTCTGGGGAGGTAGGCAAGGCAGGACTTGGTCACCACTGATGGCTTTGGCAAAGCTGCCCTGGGAGCGAAAAATACGCATTCCTGTCTCATTTCTTCCAGGTACCCTTCCTCCCTCCTGGTTCCCAACCCCCATCTCCTACCCTCTACTGTCCTGGTGTCCTTGAATTGATAGAGGAACCAGCAGACCCTGGGCCCCAGTGGGCTGGATGCAGTGTTATGTCTCAGATATATACACAAAACTCTGAAATGTAAAGATCAGGTCAGAAAAGGGAGTGACGTGAAATCACATGGATGGCGAGGGAGAGTCAGGATGTCAGCTCCTTTCTCTCTGGTTCTCAAATCCAGCATCTTTCCATTAAAACACGCTGCCCTGAAGGCTGAGGAAGGCTGTGCTGGAGAAAAACAAACCTCCAGGAGGAATGAAAGGGATCGACCTCCTTAATAACCGGCCAGTGGGCTGATTAACAGCCTAGTACCCACCACTGAGTCTGCACCGTCCGCCTTCACGGGCTCTGGCTAGCTCGGCTTAATTCTCACCGCTGCCGCCCAGTCCGGGAGGCAGTGATGTTATAATTGGCCTCTATTTCTCACCAGGCAATTGACACATAGAGTTTAAGTGGCTTGTCCAAGGGCACATGGGTCACGGGAAGTAAGAGGTGGGATTTAAATCCGGACAGCCCTGATCCAGCTCACTGCCCTAGCCAGAACGATGTGTGCGCTTGGTCAGGCTGCGCCCTGCAAGGGGGTGCACGTGGAGGCTGAAGTCCAGCTCCAGTTTTGCTCTCTGGGCTGTGTGACCTGGCCCGGGACTGCCCCGAGGAAGGGGCACCTTCATGCACCTTACACACGAAGACCGCCAGACCAGCCATCCTGGGAACCACAGATGCTGACCACATTGTGGCTTTTGTTATTTGCATGATTGATTTTTTAATGACCTTCCCAAAGCCATCTAAGCACACAGATCAAAACACAAAGTACATGGAGGCTGGGAAAAGGTATTTAAACACTACCCATCACAGACTTTCCTCCTCCAGCAGACAGAAGTGAGCCCTGGAGCCGTCTTTCCAGCGGGCGGCTTGGCAGGCCCATCTGGGCTGTGTGTCCACACTGTTGACCTGGCAGTCCCTCTTCTAGGAACCAGTCCAGCTGAAATGTTCATCATCCTTGGCCAAGGTCTACTTGGGAGCACTGCGTGTAAGAGCAGAAAATTGGAAACCCACCCAAAAAACCATAAAGAAGAGATGGGTCAAATCAATTACGGTAGGTTCGAGTTTGGAGTACCCAACAGATTTCTAAATGAAGGAGGCAGATACGCTCGTTAATAACAGTGAAAGTGGCAGAAGCTCTACCCCAAGTGCGGGATGTTGAGCATACCTTGAGACGGTCTGGGCAAATAATATTTTAATGGAGGTGTGTGTGTTTAATCATCACGTCGAAGGCAGCAGAGAATGGGGTTAAGTCCAAGCCTGCTTGGGTGGCAACCTCGGCTCCCGAACCAGGTGGGTGGGTGTGGGAGAGGATGGGGGAGTCACTCGACTTCCTGTGTCTCAGGGTTAAGGGCTCAGACTCAGAGCCGGGTGTCCTGGTTCTGCCGCATCCTTCCTGTGTGAACTCTCGCTGTGCTTCAGTTTCCCCGTGTAGAAATGGGCATGTAGTCTGCGTGCCATGGAGCT